CCATTATTCTATAAATTTAACTTCTATGGACCCTTAAACCTAAACCTTGAATAATGAAACGAAGCTGCTTACATTTTTCCACTACTTCTTGTTAAAGCTAAAGGAATCTTAGCTTCGGAAAGATCTTAGACTCACCATCCAAACGCTCTTTGCCGTCTTCGCCCAGCAGCGGCTGTTGCTCGGACAACTCCTTGGAGTCCTCCTCGACTAATACTGGTTTGGGATAATAGATCTCCGGCTTGTCCGCATCGCCCGAACCGGAGTTGAGGCCTTGTCCGGCTCCTCCGGCCACTCGCATGTGGGCAATGTCGTGGAAGATGGCAGCGTTGACCACCAGCTCCATGGGCGCAATGACGCCGTAGCTCTCCGGGCCGTGCTCGATGACCAGGGGATCGCTGACGTTAGGATCGAACATGACGGCGTTGGGCGTGACCAGGAGCACGCCGCCCACTACGCCCTGTCCGTCGGTGATGTGGCGCACATTGATCTTGAGGAAACGCTGTGTGATCACCGGATCGTCGCTCTTGTTGGCCTCCTCCTCCGCCTGCTGTTGGCTGCCACCGCCCACGCGCTCGATGTGTCCGGGTTTCGGTGATCCGGGGCGCAGGCCCTCGAGTATGTCTGCAAGGAAGGGCATTGAGTTAATATTTCTGTCTTGGGTGCTGCAAATGTACGAGTATTTGTCCGCAAGAAACGGCATTTAATTAATATAATATAATATATTGGGTGCCAGTAATTTTCGGAGGGGCTTTGCTGGGTTGTGATGTTTATCAACTATACACCCGTGGCCGACCGACGATAAGATAGTGAAAGCAAAATTGATATATGGGATAGTTTAAGCTAATTCTGCGCCTTGTGACCTCCTTTGTTGTTCTAACTATTACGACAAAACTACTAATGTAAGAAACTTTAAAATATAACTTAAAGTGGTCACCCTATTTCCAGTATCTCGTGAAGATAGAAAGGGTTCATGCTAACTTTTAAAGCAGTTTAAGAAATGACCAAATAATAAAAGTAACTCATATGTATGAAAATGCATTTATCATAATAATATATTTTAAATATTTGCGTTTCTCCTAGTTTTGATAAGTGCTAGTACTCGACTTTTTTAAGTAAATGTTGTCAGATTCTGAAAAAAAAAAAAAGTAAAAAGTACCCAAGTTTTAACTGCATAATGAACCGCATATGATTACTACTTTGGTCGGTTTACAGATACAACTACTTAGATACTTTATTACTAGAAACTGAGATGCGATTTCCGGGGAAAGGGCAGTGAAAACGTGAAACGGAGTAATGTAGCCGTTGCTTCCGGAAAAGCTGGACCGTTCGTCGGCCCTTCAAGGCCAGTAATTATTAATTGTCAGCCCAAAGCAATTAGCACTTTTTCACAACAATGGTAGGAAAAACAAACAAGAACCTCCATTGCGCCAGAAGACAGCCGTGTGCATGCTGAAATTGCAGATCTGGAGTTCGTCCCGCTGCACTCTACGTCGTGGATTATGGCGCTCCTTTACGTGGCTCTCGTCACTCGACCGCTAAGTTTTTTTATCGCCTTTTTAAAGTTCAAAACAGCGGAAAAACACGTTCTAATGAATGAAAAACATTGGCCTAGAGGTGGGGAATCATCGATGTCGATATCGATGTATTGATGTTTTCAAAATATCGCCGAGAGAATCGATTTCCCAACTTCTTAACAGAAATGTTAAAATACAACTTTTTCCTAACGTAAGTTTTTCCGCAAGAAGTGGGGAAACCATAATAGAAACATGGATGTTGCCGAAAAATACAAGTTTACCCATCTCTAATGTGTCTACGCTAAGGGCGAAGTAAATATTTGCTATTTTTTGGATTAAGTATTCGCTAGATGCGGTGTAAGTATTCGCTGTTAAACCCGTTCAAATTCCTTTCAAAATTTAGTGAAATAAATAATTGGGATACCCAAAAAAAATTACATTTCGTGGAAACTTTAAATTCTTTAAAGGTTTAAGGCCAAAATATAATTGCCATCTGGGATTGTTATCAAAAAAAGAAGCGATAAGTTAAAAAAAATATTGAAATTTCGTTTGTAAAAGTGGGGAAAATGTAAAAAATATATAGTTGCCGTCTGGGATGATAAATTAATGCCTTCTGGGATTATTATTAAAAAAGGAATGATAAGTTGAAAACATATTACAAATTTCGTTGGTAAAAGTGGGTAATTTAATGAAGTGTGTTCGCTAATAAACATTCTCCATGAAAATCAAGATCAATTTCTAATTGGTTTTTCGCCGATAGATTTTCAAAAATGTGTAAACTTAGTTGTTTATAAGTTTGTTTCTCTGGAACAAGAGGCATGTAAGGCTTGTGCAACTTTAAATTTAAGCGGCGATGATGGGAAATGCTTTGTCGCCGTTTAAAAATATTAATGAACAAAGCACAGAACAAAACTTTAAAAACTAAATTGAAATATGTCTACATAATAGGTAAGACAAAGTGATAAACATATTGAAAATGTTTTTGTAAAGGTGGGTAGGGTGTGTTGGCTAATAATTACTATCCCAGAAAATTAAGATAAATTTGCACTAAGTTCATTTTGGTCAATAGATTTTCAATATGTAAACCTGGTTGATTTTACGTTTGCTTCTATGGAATCAGCAGCGTGCAAAACAAAATGTAAAAAATTAATGAAAAAATGTGAAAACCAAAGTACAGAATAAAATATAAAACTTTAAATTTAAATATGACAAACATTAAAATGACGGCAAATGCTAATGCTTCACTATCGTCGCACCAATTGCACCATTTCCACGGAGCCGGAGCTTCGCGATGCGGATGGGGATGCCGTTGCGTTGCGATGCGATGGCTTACCTTTCTCGCGGCTCTCGTCGCCGGACAACTTGCGCTCGACGGGACTGGACTTGCCGGACAGGCTGGCTCCGTCCGCGTCGTGGGTGGAGCTGCTGGAGGCGTCGTCCTTGGCACTCTTGTCGGGGACCAGCAGCTGCTGGCCGGGATAGATGAAGGAGCTGTTCAGCCGGTTCAGATGGCTCAGCTCAGAGGGCGTGGTGTCGAACCGAGCGGCCACGGAGGTCAGGGTGTCGCGATTGCCCACGGTGTAGGAAATGGTGGGTATGGTGGGCAATGAAGACTTTTGCCCTGCGAAACGAAAAGAAATAATAGTTAATAAATCGTTCGTAGGTGGCACGTGCTCGCAATTTGGTTACTCGGCGGTACGGTCGTAATGGAAGAAGGACGCTGCTCGAAGACCTCGAATAAATCGCCATCGGGTCGCAGGTGCGAGTATATCACACCTGTGGGCGGAACCTGCTGTCGGCACAGGTAGATAACCGAGAACTCGTTCGTCGGCAAATGCCAGTAAATCTCAATCACTTCTAGCATTTTGCATAAAGTTTCTTTTGAATTTTCTTCCGCCTAAATTCTCATCATGGCTTCTTCAAGCTGTCAAAATCGGTGCTGCCAACTTGGGCGCGCATTTTCAAGCCCAAACATTCGGCAACCGACTCGCGCAAAATACCAAAGCGACTGGCAAAGGAAAAACACAAACTCAAGCCAAACAATAATTTTATCAAGTTCACCATGCATGTTGATACGAAAAAGGCCGATAAGAATTAGTTTGTAGGCAACCCCCTCGTCTGCAGTGACTCAGATAACTTGCAAATCAATTCGATTACTCTGGCGATTGATGATTAGCAAAAGCTGCCAAAAGTACTTTTCATTTAACCCTTGTGTAAAGATCGTTTTCATTTGATATAACTTTTAAAAAATTAATAATAATGATTAACATCTCAATTTAATGCTTTTTAATGAAAATCTTTTGTATTACCCTTTAACTCTTTGCTATACAGGCCTTTTTTTATTAACACTCGTATTTCCTACACAACACCAACAGTTTCTTCTCGAATAAAACATTACAATTGCAGGGCAATCCAAAAATTAATGTTGTTAATAATTTGTCAACTGCGTTCTAGCGAACAAATAACTTATTTGCTTTTATTTTGTATTCAAAAAAATAATTTAAAATAATTTTTTACTCAAAAAGTTATTTACATGCTTGCTAAATGGTAGCGACACCTATTGTTGGATTTACCTACACAGTTTATTGAGAGACCTCTAGCGAAAATTTGACGAACCTATAGTTTCTACATGCAATTTACATTTTGGCGAATAAACAATTTTCCATTAAATATATGGAAAACATATTATTTTAATTTTTTTTTTTAGTTAAATATGCATTGAGTGAAATATATAGTCTTACGAAAATTTCACTATAGTTAATTTAAGAGTTATCTTTTGCTTTTGTCATGATTTTTTGTGACCAGCAATAGGGTATTACAACTTCATAAAGTTTTTAACTTTAACGTTAAAAATAAATAACATTAAAAATTTATTAACATTAAAAACTCTTTACACGAAGACGTTGCTTCAACCGGGTGGCTTAATAATTGTTCAAGTATTTTTTTAAAATGATCGATTATATTCTAAATAATTTAAAAGCTGTTAATTAATATTAAGCAAATCAAAACATTTTCTTATATAAAATGTACCAAAAAATAAAAATGACTAAAAAATTTAAAAATTAAATCAAAAATGAAATTATTTCGGATGAATGATACAAATTGTATATGCACAATATTGAAATTATAGGTACCTAGGTCAACATCCAGCTGTGAATGAAAAACCAAAAATATCCATAGCTCGGTTCCCAAAAACAAAAACGAGTCGTGAAAACCTCCCCCTTTTTTTTCTCCCTAATTGTACCAAATAGTTTGACCTATAAAGTCTTCGAGATAGGGAAAAGATGGAGTTTGTGTTGTTCGTGTCTCGTTTGGTGGTTAGTTGGTAGGTTTAGGCTGTTTAATGGCAATACTCACTTGATAGTTTGTCGACGCTCTCAAAGCGCTGCTCGACTTTCGAGCGGAGTGAGTCCAGGTCGAACGGAGCCGCAAGGCCGTGATCCACGCTGCGCGATTTGCTCCTGGAAAAGGTGGCAAAGAGTGGTTGTAAAATCGATTGTTAATGGAATATTTCGGATTTGTAGCAATCGGACCCCAATCTGTTGCGATCCTTATCACTTACAAATTTCCAGCTCGAATTGTGACCATAACCGGATAATAACAATTTATTTATTGGCTGCCAGTTTGGCTTTTTAATTTAACCTTTTTGTTGTGTATTTTGCTATCGTTTTGTAAAGATTATCTTGACAATCGGCAAGTGTCCAAATAAGGCAAAACGACGCATTTAAAATGTTTTTTCTAAACGGTTTTCAATTTTTTTTTTTTTTTTTGGATTAGCCTTTAAATGATTGGAGAGAAGTCACGATTTTTCAGTTGACTTGTCCTTAAGATGGCTGATAGATTAATATGAAGCATAAGCTTCATACAAAGTGAAATGAAAATATTTACAATGAATATTTATATTTTAAAAGGAGAAGGAGATTTCAAAGTTAAGCTAAAATAAAAGTCATAACGTAACCTTCTCTGTTGAATTCGAACATTTTTTAACAGTATAATTTAGTAATAAGCAGTCGTGATGGATCATTATCTATATATCTTTATTTGAGTTCAAATTATGTGTTTGTCTTGGCGTTGTAATTGCACACTACAAAATACTTTGTGGCTGAAAAGAGCTGAATTGATTAATGTTTAATATTTCCCTTTTAAAACCTGAGTTTTGTAATAATCAAACAAATACAAGATCACAGGAAGGCTTCGACTTAGCAATCTTTCCCGCAGTCGAGTGCTTGTTTGTCTCCCCCGATTAATAACCAATAACCAACTGAAATGGAGGAGTACAGCCGTGAGCCTTGTCCCTTTCGCATCATCGAGGACTGCGGTGGAGCCTTCACCATGGGCGCCCTGGGCGGGGCTGCCTTCCAGGCGATCAAGGGCTTCCGCAACGCCCCCTGCGGTCTAAATCGCCGACTGAGAGGGGGCTTTGCGGCGGTGAGGGCTCGATCCGGCCTGGTGGGCGGGAACTTTGCGGTGTGGGGCGCCTGTTTTAGCGCTATAGATTGCACCCTGGTCTACTGTCGCAGGAAGGAGGACCCGTGGAACGCGATCATTAGTGGGGCGGCCACCGGAGGAATTTTGGCGGCTCGTACGGGTGAGTTTTTTGTATCCTTTTCAATGATTTATGTGCAGACTTGGCTCTCTTCTCTTGTATTGTTCTCATATTTTACCAATTTATACGACCTTCGTTTTTATCTAGCGTTTTGTCTAGCATTTTTCTTGCATTATTTTTTTTGAACTGCTTAAAAATGCTGAGCTCAGTTCCCTTCCTTTCCTTGAAAGGTAAAGTGGTAATATCATCCTTTTTCAATTTTTCTCGTATGTATTGGGTTTATAAATGATGAATCCTTATTTAAAACACGCACAATTATGGTATATAAAGCCCTCTTAGACGCTTTTATTCCTTTCTAAGTTTAATATTTTTTAATTTTGGTTTAATTGCTTCAAAGACCAAAATACTCTATGTAAAAATGGTATGCTGTTATTGAATTTCTTCTACAGGATTAACCTCGATGCTCAGCAGTGCCGTGGTGGGCGGAATTCTTTTGGCCTTGATCGAGGGCGTGGGCATTGCAGTGTCCCACTATTCCGCGGATTCCTACCGCCAGGTGTCGCCCGTGGAGAGGCAGGCGATCTACAAGCATCAGCATTTACAGCAACATTCGCGTTTTTCTCCGTTTAGTACAGATTATACAGAGGTAAGTTGATTCTTTTCCACTATCTTATATCCATTTTTTTTCAACTCGCAATTTTCCATCTTTCATTCCAGGCTAATCCGCCGTAGAAATCTTCACTGCGTCATCGCGCAGTCGTCGCCATCCATTCGCGATCATCCGCTGGATCGACTATTGCATACCAATTCAATACAAGATTACTTTGATTGTTCAACGATAACGCCTCCAAATCTTAGGTCTGGCGGCATTCCGATTCCGATTTCAATTTAAATTCAATTGTCGTATATTGCTAGTTTTAGAATCATAAATATATTTTCCTTCTCGTTTCTTGTTTTGTTACGTTCGGCACTTTTATAGCCACATTCTGAAGTGGAGCCGAAGTGTCGTGGCGTTTTGGGAGGCGCGTGTGCTTCCTAGCTCCATACTTGAAATTCTCTACTCATTCGGGGCTCCCTTCCCAAAACCCCTTGGATCTTGGCAAGAATTATTCCACTACCGCCTCGATTTATGAAAACAAATAAGCTTACTGGTTCCCTAAAAAAAAAATAAACATGGTATTCATACTCCGCGGGCTTACAAATAGTTTTCTTTTTGTTTTATTTTTTGATTTTAATATTGTTTATGAGCTCGTCCTAATAATTTGGCCGTACTTATACACAATCCGACTTTTGTATTGTTATTATCTTTGTTTATTTAGCAACTGCCTATCATGTGATATTTTAAAAACTAATACAGTTTGTGTATTAGTATGTCTTTAAACATCTCCTAAAATTGGCTAAAGACACGAATTGCTATTATTACTATTAAGGTAAATCTCTATACTTGTCCTCTGTCATGAGAATATTTGCTGTTAAAATGTATTGTATTGTGACTAGTGTCAACATTTTTGTCTGCATTATTTCTTCCTAAGTACTTATGTATGTGACATTTTCCCTATTATTGCGGTCCCCTTTGATTGGCAAAACTAATTTCCGTTCCTATTTTAAGCGGGAAAACAAGTTTTCCTCTGCCAAGATAGTTGTGCCCAACTGAATCACAACAAATTGAATGACAACTACACGCATGCCCGAACTGACGAAGGGGAAAATACTTTTGGGAGCATATTGCTTTATTCTGCTTTATTCTGCCGATCAAGTGTCCCCCCCTCCGTTGCCAATAATAAAAAGTTATTTGCGCGTGTCTCTTCACTGGGTTGCCAATTAGCGGGCAAACGGCGATAACCATAATTGAATATCAATGATAAAAAATAAATATGCATAAATGTGTGTGCGGGTACAATAAGTTTTCAGCTGGCAGTAGCAGCAGGCGCATGCAAAGTGCCTTTGTTCGAAGATAAACAATGAAAGGCAAATACTAAATAATTATTTAACGCATATTTGTCGCCCATTCGATATTTGTTTTCCCCATTTTTAATTCCTGCCCGTGTTTACCGCCACGGTATTGCCATTCGCTTCTGAGAATTTTCCATGGAAAGTCTTAAAATGGCTGCGCAGCTGAAAAAACCTTTCCGAAACTAAACAGATATGCCCCTAGGCCTATTGGAGTGAAAAACCTTTGCAAAAACAAAGTCTGGGCTACACAACTGTGTTTACGTTTAAGTTGGCTGGCTACATTTGACGACGTCTCGTCTCGGGTTATTTTTTAAGCATTTGCATTTATATTAATTGAGTTCAAGTTGACCTAGCAATGGAATCTCATTTGCACAGTTGGCTTTCGCGTTAAGATGGAAAAAGTATTTTGCCTTTGTTCGGCAAGTAAACACGAATAATTGTAAATGACATAAATATTATTTTCAGAGGCTGAATTTATTTTTCGCATATTTCTTTGGCTGGCGAGGAGGTCAGCGAAAGCAAGGCGATCCAAATATTGCCAGTCTCACATTATATTTTCTCGGACGTTTTCTCACTTGAGAAGATGGATTTGAAGATAGTAAATGCACATTACTAGACTGGACTGACTTGAAAAATGGTATTGATTAAGATGTCTATTCTGCGAATGCATGGTGTGTCACTGAACAATTGAGCTATTTAATGCCTGACAGACATGCTTCCGCATAAACCAGTTAGACACACTAAATGGAAAGAAATAAAATAAGTAATTTCCTATACTTCCCATAAATTTGAATATAAAGTGAGTGAACTACTAGGAATTGCACAGAAAATAGCAGGAATGCGACGTGTCATAAATAGCCAGCGGCTTTTGAATAAGCCCAACGGAGCCAAAAGTCATTCAGGGCTCGATCAACGCTCAATAGCTCCATATATCTTATCGCTCTTGTGCATTGTTTACCTTCGAGAATTTGGCCCTGGGCCGCGATCAGTGGCATGAACACCGAAAACGGCAGTAGTCGTTTTACTGGCACAATTCCACCAAGCCAAATGTCAACAACCCACGGGGTGTTTCGGCTCCCAGTAGTGTACCTTTTATTTATTTTCGTCCGCGGATCGAATTGTAGACAGTCCAAGTTGAACTCAGCCAATGAGTCAGTTTTACTACGTATAAGTAATGTGCGACGCACAACAACATGTATTATTGGCGATTGTTGCAGTTGTGAAATTGATAATAAAATGCTTTTACTCAATATTGAAGTCTTGCTTTTCTCCGTGGCCTTTCTTGGGATAGGTTTTAAAAATTCTCATTCTAGCCAAAATACTCTTTAATTTGTATTAATTTTACCCTATCTTGTATTTTTCAAGCGTTTAAGAACCCGCGGATTTTATCTGTCAACGTCAATTAAACATCAGCTATTTATTTATACTTATAAGCAACTTATAAATTATCAAAAATCGTTAATAAGACGACAGCGAACATTAAGATTATCTATAAATAATCTGAGAGCGAGTGTAATTTGAACACCGGGCCGCTGGTTTTATAAATTATCAATATTTGCTGCCTGCCGTTTTCGATTTGGAGTTTTGCTCAACTTGTACACAGACCGCAAAAACAATTTATTGTTGCAATCGATTGGCTGTTTCGAAAGTTCATAAATTGCCAAATTGGCTCTTGAGTTATGGTCACAATTCGCTGAAAGTCAAATACATCATTATGGTTATAAGTTATCAAGTGTGAGCATGCAGGTGAGTTAAATACAATCGGGCCATGCAACATTCAACAGCGATACATAGATTCACATTCACGAAGGGCGGCCGGAAGCTGTATAAACATGTCATGCGGGTGCAGTTAATAGGGCTTTTTTCTATATATATATATACGTATGCACTTGATGTGGCTCTGGCTCATTTGCATTTGTGTGGATGTGTTGATGGGTGGATTGGATGGATGGGTGTTTCTATGGCAGGTGGAATCGTTAGTTGCAACTTACCTGCGCACGGGTATCGCCAAATTGTCAACGCTGCGTGACAAACTGGAAACATCTTGACTAGCCCTACGTGACCTGGCACGTTCGCAAATCATAAGGAGCACATCGGGGCAGGCGGACAAAACCAATTAAATGAGCAAATTGTGCCAAAACAAAATACAGTAGGTCCAAAAAAAATAAACGGAGAAAATAATACGGTAAATAAAAATATATAATTACGAAATGCTTAAATTTAAATTCAAAATACACACACACACACACACCGCCGAGAGGGAAATGTACTATATCTCGCCTAAATCGCGCGAGTTTAACAAACGCCATTTGGTGGAATGCACACGTAGTAAGAGGAATTCATCGGACCCAACAACCCCGAATAATTGTGCCAGCCATATGGATCGCCATATACCGCTGGATATATACCTGACTATATGTCTGTGGGGAGCACGTGATCCAGTCGACTTTGAGCTAATTGCTTTGGAATCGTCACGTCCAGAAAACAGGCGAATCGGGTGAGGTCGTGGAAATAAATGGAACCCACTTGGGGGACACTTTAGCTAATAGCTTTTGGTCGAAGGAAAGGGAACGACTATTAATACCTTTCTTCAATTGCTACTAATTTGATTAGACTTATATTTTTTTAAAGAAAAGTTACTCTTCAGATTTATATCTACAGAAATTCAAAATAGCATTTAAGGAATTACCATTTATTTGCAATCGGCTGATACTACCGGCATTATCAATACTTTGTTTTGTTTTACGCACTCGAGTTCTTGCTAATAACAATGTCCAACTTGAGCAGTCTGTCAAGGGTGAACAGTTAATAGAACCGATATGATATGAGTGCAAACCAAAAATTCCCACAATTTGCGACTATTTCAGTAAAGATTGCTGGAACTCAATCTATATGGAACTATATCTCTGATATAGCTCATGGTCAGAGCATTTGGCGAAGACAGTTTATCTAAATGTGGGGCAATTATGAAAAGTCGTTGACTCGACTCGAAAATTTTGTATTGCAGGTGTCGAAGAAATTAAGGGGTAGTATTACAAAAGAGTATTGTTATTTGGCTCGATGAAATGGCGAGACAGTATTAAGTTAATTAACTCAAGTAGCTTATGCTTGGTGTTGTAAGTTGGTCTGCAATTTTTCTTTGCGTAAATTTAATGAATGTTTTTGTACCATCATTTTATTTTTTTTACAAACGTGTTGGCTTTTGCTTAACATTGACCCACAACGCCAAAAAGGCGAAGCTCAAAAAGCAAACAAAGGGGAATTGGGATGGAAGCATGGGGATTAGGAGTACGTGCTCAAGATCATGTGTGGAGTGCTTGATTGTAATGGTCATTTGGTTTAAGCTCACCGGAAGTTAGGCACAAGCTTGAAATAAACATCGTAAGGCAAGAAGGTAAAAACGTTTTTCTAGATTTTATGATACAGGAGGAAGTTTATTAAAAGTTACCTTCACTTTTCTAAGAATACAAAACATAATTATGACCTCAGCATGTGGCCAACAAACTCGGCTGACAAAAACGTTTGGGATCTAATCGAAAGTACTTAATAATCATCATAAAGATACGAATTTAGAGAATGTTACCAGGCAATTCTGATTGGCCAAATCGACCCAAAAAAAAATGGTTCAAATGTATAAAGAACATAAACAAACTTACCAATAATATTGTGATGTAATTATAACGTTCTGCATTTTAGATTCACAACTCATAGAATGTTTATGTACTTCGTTCATTACTTTTCTTAAACTAAACAGAGACAATATAAGTCCTAAATTAAATGCAATTTCCCTGACGTCTTTACACACACCCAAGGGCAACAATAATTAAGAGAAATTGATGAATGTTTAGGAAAAAGTTTGGATAACGATTAACTGGTCGATCAATCATAGCCGTACCAGTTGACAGATGAGTGAGAGAAAAACGAAAAAAACGAAAAATACGAAAAATCGAAATGTAGCTAAAACAAGCAAAAGATAAATTCACTTGACACTG